GCAGCGGGTTTGCGGGATCCCGGTCCTCTCGGGCTTACGTTTCCTGCTTGGATTTGCCTCGGGCATTATCTCATTTACACACTGCCATTTGAGACGGGGTCTCCCCCGGTTGCCCGCGCTGGCCTTGAACTTGCCGCGATTCTCCTGCCTCGGCCACCACGCCGCGCTCCGTGGCTGTGTTTTAAACGCTAGGTGTTCTCAGTCAGCGTGGGCTTTCTGCTTTTTTTTATGTCGGGCCTCTGACTTTGATCGCCAGAACTGCCCAAGATGGGACAGTGACTGCTCTTTTCGCTGCTGCCGCCTCTCTGCTGGGTTGACAGGCAAAAAGCCTGCAGCTTCTCTCAGATCAGTCTCTGCTCTCCCGCCAGCAATCTGTAGGTTGCTGCGCTCACCTCGTGACTCTGCGGCAGTTCACGCCTGACTTAATGCTCCTACTCTTGTGAGACTGTAGGCTTAAGGACACTGCCCTTTCCTGTCTTGAGAACTCCTTTAAATACGTTGTCGTCCCCCCCGGCCACCACTTGTCCACTTACTACCCCATTCAGAGCTTTTTTTCTTAAAGACCTGAGATTGTATAAGGTTTACAGTGTTAAGAATGAGGATCTCACTAAAGAGAATAGGGCTGCAGATCCTGAAGGCGACTTCCTAGTGCTTTGGGACAATCCTTGTTAGATGTTTAACTTTTGGCACATTTGTTTAGTATTTTCTTTAGCAAAGTCTAACTACACATCAGTTACACATCGTCAAAAATCCTACAAATGCTGTACTGGTTAGGGTGCTCAACAGATAGAGGCGTTTGCTGTCAGACCCACAAGCCTGACCACCTTGGTTTGATCACCAGATAAAGGTGGAAGGAAAAGAACAGATCCCCCTCTCCCATATCACACACACATAATACAGAATCATAGACACTAGAAGGAAACTGTTGAGGGTAATTTAAACGTTTGGGATAATGCTCTGAATTTTAGTGTTATAAATCTATGCTGGCTGGAGGAGGGATCCTCAACTGAGAAAATGCCTCTATAAGATCTGGCTGTAGGGCGTTTTCTTAGTGACTGATGGGGTAAGGCTCAGCTCACTGTGGGTGGGGCCAACCCTGGGCTGCTAGTCCTTGGGTTCTGTAAGAAAGCACAGCTGAGCAAGCCTAGGTTGCAAGCCAGTAAGCAGCTCCCTTTTAAGGCCTCTGTATCAGCTCCTGCCTCCAGGTTGAGTTCCTGCCCTGACTTCCTTCAATGATGCACTATGATGTGGAAGTGTAAGCCACATCAACCTTTTATCCCCAAGTTGCTTTTGGTCACGGTGTTTCATTCCAGCAGTAGCAACCCTGACTATGGCAAAGTTAGTCATAGTATTTGGTGGTTATTAATTACCACTCTGTGGGTACTCCTGTAAGTGTTGCACAGAGTTCAGTGTATGGCTTTTCGCTCTTTGAATTACATTAGTAAAAAGGGATTTACCATACTTAGGTCCTTCTAAATTTAATTTTTTTTAAAAATCACTTTTTAGTAATAAAGCAAATGAAAATTTTTTATTGCTTGAAAACTATTTGATGACTTCTAGTGTCAATAAGATACAAATGCTGAATACAATGAGAACCATTTTTATTGTCTTTTATATTCAACAATGATTACTTAAACTTAAAAAAAAAAACAACAACAACATGTTTATTAACTAATGGTTAGTGAAAAGCCAAACCTTTCCAGCCCACTTCATATTCTCTTTCAACCATTTCAGGGCAGAACAATGCTCCAGGCTATACACCTGCTCCTTGTTAATATTGACGGTCATGTGCTTAATGAAGAGCTTGGGGTCTGATATTCGAGCAGCCATGATCAATCTTTCGACTGCAGCTTGATAGTCATCCTTGCTTCGAGATTTGCTTTCTTCACATCTGTTAAGTGAACACAAAGGCAGAAATTCTCAAAAAAAAGCAGTGTGGTTCATGTAGGAGAGTCATTTGCTTTCACCGATTCCAAACTATCATCGTATCTTTCAGCAGTGACTCTTTAGCTTTTTAGATCATGGTTTGCAGTATGAGAGGCATTTTATATTAGGACCCAGAATCAAAGGGCAGTTTGAGAAAACACTAATCTAGAATACAGCCAGTTACCTATTTTTGCACTCATAAATAACTCACAAATAACTATAAATTAAGCTATATAAGTTAGTATTAAGTACAACACATCTTAAATGATTAATAATCACATTTGTTTTCTTTTGGTATTAGTTATTTCTAGTTTCAAGCAAGTACTTAATATGCAGCTAACATTTAGTAACAAACTGCAGAGCTGTATGTTTTCTTTGGTCCTGACCTGGGAACTTCATTGTTATAATTTTTTTCAAGCTCCATCTGCCATCAACTGTGATTGTGTTCACTGGCATGAAATCCTGAATTTATGGTAGCTTTTCTTGTGGAGAAAGGAAATGGCTAATGTCCTGCTCTTGGTACGTTGGGGGTCAGTGAGCAGAGTTCTGAGACTGGTTCTACATAAATTAACACCAGCGTGGGCCACTGGGTGACCTAAATAAGGCCTGCACTTCAAAAGGGGAAGGAGTATCTGTAACACGAAAAATAAAAGACCCAGAGACTGATATTGTGGTTCAAGATTCAAGAAGACCCAGAGACTGATATTGTGGTTCAAGATTCAAGAAGTAGATGAGAGAAACAAAGCAGCCAAGCCAGTAGCTCTTCCCTCTCCTCAGCTGAAGTGGCTATCCTGTCCCCACAAATCCTCAGGGACAAAAGGCTCTCAATTCCCATCTCCTCCTTATATTCCTTTCTCCACCCAGCCTATCACTCCTGTTTCTAGCTCCCTAGTGCTGGGATTAAAGGTGTGTGATCCTGGGTATTGGGGTCAAAGGCAACAGTTCTGTTACTCTTCATTCTTGTGTAGGCCATGGTGGCATTGAACTAACAGATCTGTCTACCTCTTAATCCTGAGTCCTGGGATTAAAGGTGTGTACCACCACCACTTGGCTTCTATAGATAACTAGTGTAGCTACTTTGCTATTTTGATCTCCAGTGGCTTTAATAAATCATAAACAATGTATCACCACAAGTATCCAAGTGTCTTCTGGGGGCTTCTAAATAAAACAAGGCACTTTAGAGTCTGACAGACTGAAAACTGAATATGTGGTATATTCTCAATGTTTAAAAGTGAATAAAATTCTATAGAGGTTAGCACCCTAAGCCAGGTCTCAGCACACCAGCAAGACAAAACATATTGGCCTTGATAAAATCAAAGATCTAGGTATGTCACTGGTCATGGACTAGGACTACAACTGCTCTCACATTCAACAATAAATAGAGGCTGCAAGTGTGGGAAATGGGCTTCAAGAAGAAAGTCAAAGTCTTTTAAGAATAAAACGTAAATGCTTCAGGCCACACAGTATTTAGTGCCAAAGGAAGCCCAACCCCTACTAAAGACAGAGCTATAAAAACAAAGGCTAGTTTCAATGGGTTTTTAAAAAGTACAAGTAAAATGACTTCCTCCTGTTAAACAGAGGCTATACAGCTGCGTGGTGGTGGCACACACCTTTGAGCCCAACACTTGGGAGGCAGAGGCAGGTGGATCTCTGTGAGTTCCAGGATAGCCTGGTCTACAGAGTGAATTCCAGGACAGCCAGGGCTACACAGAGAAACCCTGTCTTGAAACACACAAAACAAATGAATGGGGGCTATACCACATGACTCCTGTATCAAACTGAGAAAGCACGGTCAGCAGGTCTGAGTACGAGATGTCAGGGAACAATCTGCCATGAGCCAAGTGGATTTGGGGGAGTTTTGTTAGAGATGCTATTTCTTGTTCTGAATCAAACATCTTTAAATAGTGAAGAATCTTGAAAGACAAACACAGTTTCTGCTTCTGGAGCAAAAGACAGGCTTGGTGACACCTGTAATCAGTGTCTTCCTATAGAGAAAATGGAAAGCAGTCTTTGTGTTCTTTAGTCTTGGGCCTGCCTTCCTGTCAGGATACCTGCCACATGTTGAGGAGTCCACGTGGGCTGTCAGAAGGACTTTGGGGTGAGAGTGAATCGGGCTGATAAGCAGACCATCTGGTTGTTTGCTGTGCCACAGCAAGAAAGCACCCTGCTCTAACACAGGAGTCTTGTGTCTTATGCTAGCACACATTGACCTGTGGCAGGCCAACTTGCAAATGGGTAAAATCTCAGACCTTCATAATCCTTGCCTGATAGTCACAAAAGGCACTTGCCTTTCTCCTAGCATTCTCTCTTGTGGATCACCCATTCTGGGAGAAGCTGGCACTCAAAAATAGCCTTTTTATTTTTAAAATACGAGTTTTATAGTAAACTTTACATTTAAAAAATTATTGAGGTTCTACAGCTGAAAAACTGAGGGATTTCTCAGAGATAAGGGTTGTATGAGTGTCCACACTGACATGACATTTATGTCAGATTGTGTCATTCTGGATCTGTAAGGAACAAAAAAAAGATTCATAGCTAAAACTTTTAGGCAAAGGCACCACACTTTATAACACAGGAAAGGCT